TTAGATAAAAAAGTTACAGCTATTTAAAAAATTGAAACACTTTGTGTAACCGTTGAGTATAGACTACCTGCACCATATTTACAATTTCTTACGTTTTTCGCGTTTGTTTTGTTACACGAGATCCTGTGATTTTATTGGATCCAGATAGGGTCGGAAGTGATCTTCAGCGATCTTCAGCCCGGGATTTTCTTGACATAAGGGTACCCCACAATTACGGGGGATTAGAAAATATCTTAATGCTAGTAGTATTGAAGACAAATTCTTGGAATTGACGAGTGATTATGATAAATTCATGGAAGACTTACAATTTACGTTTGTAATTGCTCAAGATATACAAAAAAGATATGATCGAGTAAGTTTAGAATCAGACCTTGCAGAAATAAATGAGGTATTTATGCTTTTGTAAATTAACATTATGGAATAAATGAATATAATTTAAACCCTAATTCCAAAAATGATGAATGCTTAGTTTTTAACCCATTTTCGCGAAAATGTTCAAGGCACATTAAAGTTTGTTCAAGGACCTTTAAGTATTCTTCACCAGGAGGTATCAATCATCAGGACCCAACTCGGGACTGATACACAGATTTTAGCACCAAGAATAGATCCAACATTATTGAAAGATATTGAACCCGAAGAGCCCTCAATAAATTCCAGTGCAGTTGCGAAAAAATTTTATACGAAAAATGCCATAGCAGTATCATGTGAGACGATAATGGATCCAATACGTTTCAATCGCAGAAAAAGCAAAATTTTAGGAAAATTAGGAGAGTGCCCAAGTATTCTTAAATTCTTTGGGGTTTCAACAATAAAAGATTCCATAACATTAAGAGAATATGAAGTGTTGGTTTTCGAATTGGCTGATATGGGAAATCTAAGAGATGTTTATCGATATTATGATATACCTTGGAAAACAAAAATAACTATAGTCATCGATACTTGTCGTGGTATTATATTTTTAAATTCTATTTATATCTTTCATCATGGCATTGGGTGAGAAAATGTTAAAATGAAAAATTTTTTACAGTTATAAATTTAATAATAAATTATTATATATTAACAAAGTTAACTAATTATTTTTATTTAATGCAAAATTATCACACTTTTGTAGATTACAAATCGTTTGGAACCAAAACTAGCAAATTTTCACTTTGCAAAAGTGACAGAAGGTATATCTTCGAATCTTGAATCAGTCCTTTTAGAAATTCACTGGATGGCATCAGAGAAAATGATTGAACACATGTTTTTAAAAAATGCCAAGAAGCGACGATATACACAACAATGTGAAATTTTCAGGTACATAATATTTCAAACTTATTATTTAATTTCCGTAATTTTTGTATAAATTTTTTTCTACAGTTTTGTATAAATTGTTATGATTTTTTTCTACAGTTTTGTATAAATTACTATTATTTTTTCTACAGTTTTGTATAAATTATTTTTTTTTTCTACAATTTTGTATAAATTTTATTATTTTTTTTGTACGGTTGTGTATAAATTGTTATTATTATTTTATTCTTTTTTGCTCTAGTTTTTTATAAACTATGTTTCAACAGTTTTATATAAAGTATTATTATTCTTTCAACAGTTTTGGAATGATGCTATGGGAATTGTGTTTTGAAAAGACTCCTTACAAAGCTAAAGACATGGATTATATTAGAAATCACGTTACGAAAGGTGGTAGGGAAAGAATTCCAGTTTATTCCGGAGGCAAAGAAGAGAAAGAGATTTATTCTGAGTTTATAAAAATCATTAAAATGGGTAAATAAATAATAATTATAAATTTAACTACTGTATATATTGTATTATAATAACTAATCATATGCCTAATTAAAATCCTTTAAAGCATGGGCGCATGATCCGGAAGAAAGGATTTCTATAGGAGAGCTTTATATAATGCTTGCAAATATGCAAAGCAAGTATGTTCCTTTCAGATACTTGCCCGACGTTTTACCCAATAAAGTTATGAATTTGGGTGATGATAAAATGACAGAAGAGCATGACATGTAATGTCAGATGGCGAAAGTCTTTACTTTGGTAAAGACGATGAAGTTCTTAACGATATCGAGGAAATTCTGGAAGCTGATCAAGGAATTGAACTTCATGTAACGAGAGATACAGTAAAAAAGAAAGAAGCTTGGAAATGTTTTGTGGCAAATGCAACTAAAGGACATCCAAAAGCGATATTTTGGAAAGGATATTATCTATGGGAAGGGATAAAAAAAGAACACCGGAGATAATCATGGATGATCGAAATGAAGCACTTCCTCTTTCTAAATCTGCAGCGGATGATGGTATCGCAGAATCGCAACTACGTTATTCGTTTGCATTAAAGGAATTAAAGCTGATCAAAGCGAATGATAAATACGAAGAATCCATGCATTACTTGAGATTAGCAGCAGAAAATGGAAATCCGGTGGCAATGTTTAATTTGTCTGATATATACTGTACATAAACGGAAAGTTAAAAGAAAAGAAAGATGAGGTTACTGGTATAAGATACCTAAAACTTGCAGCATTGAATAAAAATGAGAAGGCAATCGCGTTGGCCAATAAAATGAAATTAAACATTTACAATTCGAATTACAATTATTTTTAACATGTATTATAATCAAGCGTACCGAATAATTGATTGTGGAGGCAATTAGTTGCAATTATTTGACCTCAACTAGAAGCATGATCATTTAGGCGGCTTCGCCGCCCATAATAAATATGCTAAAGATTGTAGATTTGTTTGTTTTATTATTTTTATTTCAAGAAGAAAAGTTTTTCTTAAACCTTTTTATATAATACATAAGTAATAATGAATATTACAATCGCCCATCTCTACTAAATTTTGATTTTTTTGATTAGATACCATGTTTCTAGTTTTACGTGATAACCTCACACAACTATCTAGTTAATTAGCAATTATAGTCGATTCTATAATGCAGAGATTGCAAATTTGCCAAAGGAGACTAGTAGTCTTAACTACGTAGCGACAGTTATAACTTTTGTCATATACAGGTTGTAGTAAACTATGATAAAACGTAACTATAGCGCAGAAAGTGGCTTATAACGCATGATATCACCATGTGGTTTATTAAATGAAGTCCAGCCTAGATAAAGATTGAATCCAGTTATTTTATTAATGTAATAGGATTACGAAAATTTATTCAATTAAAATAAGTTAATAGCATTCAAAAAAAATTTTTTTTTGATAATCAATCGATTCAAGTTAGTTATGATACATTAAACAATGAAATTGAAATACACTATAAAAGAAAGTTAAATTTTGACTTGGTTCAAGGATGCGAATGGATTATCTAGCTAGTTAGTGGTCCAATAAATTAGCAAATAGCCGCCACGATTGCTGTAAATTTATTCTTATGATAAATTGAATATTGCTCAAAATAATATTGCATTTGTAAGCAATTATATGAATGAAATGAATATTTAATTATTTCATTGAATTTTGTTATTTTCAAAAAAAGTATTTAAATGCCAAAGCCATAAAAATTTGTTTTTTTACAGTATTATATGTATAAAATGTAGAAATGCGTGTAACCAATCTCAGAACGTTAATTGGATGTTGCTAACAGACATTGCTATAATTTTAAACCAAGCTTATTAATAGATCTGAACTGGGTCGAAAAATAAAAGTAATCAATTGATTAGGCTAGGACTTAAATTGATAATCAGAACGGTAAAATAAAACTGTTGCGGTTATTGGTACGCTAAAGACATAGTTGATCGGGTATCTTGTACCGCCTAACAACAATGAAACACAGTTTTAAATAAAACGAGATAGAATAATTTTCAATCAAATATTTATTGTAACTCACATGAAAAAGCCGCTGGAGGAGCACCCCCAACAGTTGCAACACGAATGATATAAGTAATATCGTTAAACGTCCCTCTCCCATTGGTATCCTGTTTGTCAAAAACGTTAATCTTTATGAATTACAGAATTATTCCTAGATTTCAATACTCGCATTAACAACGGAAAGTTGCAAAGGTGCATTTCTTTCCGGATTATAAGACGGAAAGGAAGCCACGGGAGAAAATTCTATTGATGAGGTATCTTGTGGAATAATAGATTTAAAGCCAATAGCGCCATCTAAATATTATATCAAGGAATTCTATGTTAATCAGTAATTAACGTTAAGATTTATATCGATATTGTTTAATATTAATTTAATCACATCTTACATACATGGCGTCTTAAAAGTTGATGCCACACCTGAAAAGGGGTAGTTGGAGGTGTCTCTTCTGTTGTTAAAAAAGATTACTCGAGTATCATCTAATAACGATAATGAGAATAATAGTATATAATAAAAGATTTCCATAATGATAACAATACGTATACATATGATAGTGTTAAGTATACGTAAGCTGGTCAGGTTAATCGGCTTAGTCGACTCTTAATAGAATTGATCACGTTCTATTATACTGATACGTGTCACATTTGCGTTATTTAATTCATAACAATAATCGATTTAAAAATAATTTAGGTGTAAGTAAAATTTGTTCACTTCCATGGTTCGACATTTTATTATTTCATCGACTAAGCAGAATAATTGGTCGATTCGGCTATCAACACTAACATATGGCAGATGACATATATGTACCAAGTTTCCATGTATTCCAGGGAGTACATTTATACCAGAAATATCCGCCAACGAATAAATGAAATTTGAAAACATTGCCACTTGGGACTCTGAGTCGTTCCGGAATTTTGACATGTGGAAACGCTGTTTAATTTATCATCAGGTTAATACGTGGTTACATTCGGTCAACATTATTTTAAATATAAAGATTTACCCCTATTTCCAATAACTCTTGAGGCTTGACGTTGATTAACACCCGCAAATGAACCAATTACGTAGAGGAAGAAAATAATCAAAACAGAGAGAAATCCCAATTTAATCATCTTGATAAGCATCTTCATTAAATAAATTTGTATATCTACATAAATGTTAACATTCATGTTACAACGAATAGTTATGATAATAAATAACTCATATAGTACATACAGAATTTATATAATGATCGAAGAATTATGACATACAAAAAAATTTAAATCTATAAAATTCGTTGAAGATTCCAAGCTTTTATATTTTTCAATTTATTTAGGCATCGCTCAAAATAAGGTTTATAAATGAATAATTCCAAATTAGCCATATGCAGATAAATGAAAAGATTTAAATAAAACTTTAATGCGCAAAGAAAAAAAAAAAAGATGTTAAAAAAAAGTAACGGTCAAGGGATATGTTAAATTAAGGTCAGGGACTTTGGTTGTTTATGGCTAGTATATTTGAAAATTTTTATTAAAATCGTTTAGAACTAAATCAATCTTATGAGAAACAATTAACTTGAGAGAGAAGGGAGGCTGAGCAGGGGTAACGTAAACCACGAATTAAGTTGATTTTACCTTAATTGTTATAAATCAGTTTAAGAAATAGCTACATGTTTATAATATTGACGCGGAATATCTGACTATATTGTTAGAAAAAAAACAGGAGATAACAAGGCAATCTAATTAAGGCATACGATTTGGGATTTATAAAAGACAATCTTAAAAAGGATGTGACATAAACTAGAATTTGTGATATTTTTATTAATTTCAACTTACACTTTTCCAACCTAATGTTTTACATCTGAAAAAAAAAAACAAGAAATGTTTCATAAAATTACTTGAACTTTTACTTGACAACTAAAGTATTTTAAACAATTACCTTTTCCATATTTCATTTTATTTGACTAATCTTCATCTACTCGTGAATGCGAAATATTTTCTAATTTTACTTTAGTTATGGGTCAACAAACCCATTACGGTCAAAATCACATCAGGCCATATTATCAATATGTAGTAAGATGTTTTTTTCAACTTTTTACTGCTTTCTTCAATTTCTCTGAATCACTTTATGGTTCATTACAATTCGAATTCTTTGTTTTTTTTTGACTGCCTGTAATTCTTCATATTCTAATTATCTTTTATTATCCGAAGCGTAGCGGAAAACTTTTAGTGTGGTAAAGTGATACTGCCATTACCATTATGTTTTTGCTAAGTAATTTAACCACCTGGTTAAAAACGTGGTCTATTCAATAGTTTAACTAGCTAGTTAGTACATTAAAACCGTGGTTTAATATAAATTCTGACCACCTGGTCAGAACCAGTGATGTAAATTGGATCGGCGCGCACATTTCAATTCTCTCCGTATATATAAAGCGCGTATAAATTTTTTTTTATGAACATTTTTTTTGGTTTGCGCCAATAAAAATTATTTGAATTTATAACACTGGTCAGAACATCTCTACCCAGAGGTACCATAAAATTAAATGCGACACAATTATTACAATTGTTTGGAATTGTTATTATAACTAATTAATGTTGAAAAGAATTACATGGGTGTGATAAATCAATTATGTGACAAATAAGGATTTTCGTATTTGGGGGAGTACACAGCAAAACCATGCTTAGAGTATATATAATACATATACTCTAAGCATGGTTTTGCTGTGTACTCACCCATTTGTTAATCTTTATTCGCCACGCAAATGATTCATCACGATAGACTGTCTATTTTGGCAATCCCATTACAAAACCACTTTCTGCGTCTTAACAAACAAAAAAAAAATTTTTTTTTTTTTTTTTTTTTGCAAATTTTACTATATGCTACGCCCTCTCTAACATCATTCTAGTACTCACCCTTATCCTAATGTTAAAAGGTTATTTTTTAATTGAAAAATGTAGTGAACGACTTGTAGTTTATTTTTACAGTGAATTTTTTTGCGGTAGCTATATGTAATTATTGGAAATGAGTGCAAAGCAAAAACAAAATTCTTCATTGTCGGAAACTTCGCTCTGTACTTTGTTTTTTTTTTTTTTTTTTTTTAAGGGCGATCTCGCCTGTGTGTCTTTTTTTTTATTATTAGTAATATAAGATTACATATTATATACAGGGTATATCAACGAAAGTACAACTAGTCACACGTATAACTTTAATCATTATCTAATTAAGGATTCTGTCTATAGGTTACCCACTAGATGCCATACCTGAGACCCGTCTGTGAGTCTCCTATTTAAACTTTCTGATTTTCAATACTTTACTGCATATATCTACAATGTATATTACTATTATTGTAACAGAACAGGTTAGGGTTATCTAATTACTATTTATATTTAAGTATCATTTCATTGGATGTTACCAAGTATTCATAGTCTTTCAAATTTATCCTTGATGCAAACTTACTAAATA